TGACAACTCTATTTCTTGTTATGGAATCAACAAAGCCACATATCAACATTTTAATTCATTAGACAAAGATATCCAAAAAGAAAACAAAACAAAAAACAGGAGAAGAGCATGAACTACTTACCACAAACACGAGAAGAAACAATCTGCAATAACCAAATTAAAAAAAAATATATTTGATCAATTCTCTAACCAAATAAATATAAATGTTTTAACTATAACATTAAATTACAGGGAGATAATTACATGGAGTATCGGCCGAGACGGTGCTCATGAGATCGGAGTGCCATAAATTCCGGTAACTTTGCCGAAGCTGCATCTTTTCAAGCTTATCTTGAGACCTCGCCATGATTTTGAACAAAAACACACAAATCTCTTCGCCAGAAAATCCAATTTAGGGAAATACAAACAAAATATAAAGTGAAAGGAAAATGCAAATCCGAAAAAGGTAACAAAATGAAGTAACGTTTTCAATTTTTTTTCCTTTTCTTGATTTGGAAACAAACGAAGAAACTTTACAAACTTTTGTTTTTCTCCCTATCTTTTCCTTTTTTTTTTTTTGTTGTCTTTTTGAATTTTTTGAGAAATTAGTTTGTTTTTAATGGTTTTTTTGTCGTTTTAAAAAGTTTTATTGTTTTTGACTTGAATTTCGGTCTTCTCGAGTTTTTATTGGTTGGATTAAAAAACTCTTTGACCCATTGGAAATGCCGAAATTTCAGAATAATAAATATTTTCATTTGACAATTTAACCCTTTTTAATATTTTGAATAATAAAGTTTTTATATACTATATTTACTAACATTTACTATCTCGAGGACATTAGCCCAATACAATATGATAGTGGCATCTACTATATAAAAGATGAATGGCACTCTCCATTTGAGTGACATGTCAAGGAGAAGCCACTTGTCTACTCCCCTTTATTTACTAATGCCATAAACTTGCGCCACACTATTCATACATACGAGAACATGTTTGGGCCTACAAATATCTTGGCTCACTTCAAGCCTCCAAACTCAACGCTTTCTTCTCCACCCTTACTCTTCATTTGCCATGGATATGCAATGGAATGTACCATCACCATGAACAGTTGAGATCAACCCATTTCATGATTACTTATTTAGTATATATTCATCAAAGGATCAAAGCTTTGTTCATGTTTGAGCTGAATTATGATTGGATTAGGTACGGCGAGGAGGCTTGTGAAGGCAGGATTTGGTGTATATGGAATTGATTATGAAGGACATGGCAAATCTGAGGGGCTTAATGCTTATGTTCCAAACTTTGACCATCTCCTAGATGATGTCTTTACTCATTACACAATCATTTCTGGTAATATTGACTTTTAATTTGGGTAGTAAGTGTAATTATATAGTTACTTTTGTATACATATTATTCCTGTTAATGCTTTTAATGGTTATAAAGGACTTAGATCGTTAAAACTGTTTTTCACTCCCCATTCACAAGTTTTCGTCACTCGAATAATTTGTCAAATGACTAATAATTTTTTGTCAATTTGAAAAATTGAATATTTGTTTGTCTCTCTTTATCAAATAACAATATATGATTTTGATTTTTTTGTGTGTGTGATTGGAATAATTTAGAGAGAGAAGATGAGGTATTTGTTCGGAGAACAATGGGAGGATAGTGCTCTTGGCCTGAATTTTCGGATGGGGCCATCTTGGTTGCTCCAATTTGTAAAAACATGTGCAATGATGTTTCTTAAGTCAAGTTCTTAAGACAAAACATATTAAATTTAAATAAAAATTGGTTGTATTACTAAGAACCGACCATTTGATTCGTGGATGATTTTTTTGACAAAGAAAAAAAATAAACACGCGTACAACGCATTTATTAAATGCAATATACTTTTCATTTTATTCAATGTACTATGTTTATAAATTTTGAGAAAATAAATTCTACTTAATAAAATATTTTCATATTTTTTTATTATTATTAAAAATTCCTAGTGGAGTTCTACCATTGGAGGAGAAAAAAATTAAAATCTATTGAAGAAGTTCTTAGAACATGTTGATGCAAAATATATAATAAACAAATTGATTAGAATCCCATGAAGGGTTCCACCGTTGAACATGGTCTAAGGTATTACATTCATTCTCTCATGCATCTAGCTTCTAATTGTAATCATTTACATATTCAAATTTGGTTTAGTTTAAGGAGATTTTTAAAATTTTAAACAAAATAGAGAGTAGAATGGCACTGGCACATAAAAACTGCTCGTAAAAATTAAAAAATCAAACCAAAAAACTGTAACGTTGTTCATTGCCTATATTTTCCATTCACACTCTAATTTCCATTTTTATTGATTTGTAGTGATCATAAGGTGGAGTTGATGTTTAGTGTTGGCGGTTTTCATGTAATACATATAATGCATATATCTTAGTGCTAAGGTTTTCAATTAGTTGCTTCAATTGCTTCTGGGTTTTAGGTGTACCACATTTAGTGGTCCATATATAAATTAGATCAAACTTTTTGCATTAGCAAATTGCCACTGTTTTTATTTCCCTTTCATGTCTTCTAAGTGGTATTTTTAGTACGACCCACTGTGGACTTCAGCGATATCGAGGCAAGAATGGTTGGGTTAGATCCAAATATATCTTCTTCTATATGCTTAGGTTCTTATAGAAATTTGAGAGTGTTGCATCTGATCCATTAGTAAATTTTGTTTACTAACTTTCGATGATGGACTTCTCAGGTAAATGCTTCGGTCAGAGGAGCTGTGGCTGGAGCAGCTATTGGTATTGGGACAAGAAACTAGACCCATGTTGTTGGCACGGCTAGGCTCGTGTCTGTTTTTGGTGTTTTGGCTAATTTCACAGGGATAGATCTTAAAACAAGGCATAGATGATTTAAAACACTTTTTATACCAATTTTTCACAAAATGTTACATTTCTTAACACGAGTGGGGCGCGTCGAGTTCCTTCTAATGCATCCACATTCATCCGACAACAAAAACTACCTTATAGTTATGTTCATGACAGTTTATTTATCTGATTGGGCTTGAAAGTCTCAGACAACTCCATTCATCAAAACACAGTGTCTTGGGATTGGACCGTGTAAAGATCAAACGGGTGACCAGACTCTTTGATTCACACAAAAATTTGGAGGTTTGAACCAGTGGATGGTCGATGTTCTATATAGGTCACAATTTTGGTCTTCACTTTGTATTCATGTAGAATCTAACACAAAAAGTCCATCTCATTTGCAATAGAGCTAATTAATTGCTGAATACTCTATACTTCGTTTCATGTTTATTTTAGCTACAAAGTTATTGTCGAAAATTCTAATTTTAATTTGGGTGGTTCTTTTCAAAGTTATGTGACGATTAGATGCAAAGAACAATAGTAGCTTTTAAGTTGTTTAATAAGAATTAAGGTAATATGCATACATTAGCCTTATTTCTGGTATGAGATCATATGGTTATAAAGATGTTTACTTCTCACATTGGCCATGTTCTTTTGGGGTCCAGTCCTAAGGTTCTTATCGTCTAATAACACCGTAACACCAGCGACAAAGGATCAAAGACTGGTTGTCCTTGGTTGGGTTTTATGATAAGTTGTTTGGTTATGTAACACTAGCAAATAGTGCATTGGATTACTTTTTTCTAGGCTGCTATTGGAATAACTAACGAAATGTCAATGACAATACATCAAATATTTAATTAGTGTTTACAAAAATATGCTTTAGTTTGATAACTTTCACGGTCATTCGAACTGCTATACCTATTTCAGAATATCACATAACAATACTATATTTCAAACATTTAGCTCTATCAACTAAATGTAACATGCATGGGTCTGTCAAAAATGTTTCTCAAATTCTATAGCAAATATAACTAGATAAAAAGAAAAAAAAAACCATATAAATCTTTTTTTGTTTATTGGTCACAACAAAATCATATAAATCTTTTTTTTTGGTCGTCTAAAATCATATAAATCTAAGTTACATAATCTAAAGATGGTTTATATACACATTCTTGCAGAGAGAAAAATATATACATTCTTGATTTGAGACCATTTTAAAACAATATACATAACGAGTGGAAGAGAAAGAAAAAAAAGTAACAAATGCTAAATTTACATCATTATTTCAAGAACAAATTAAACTTATTACATTTCCAACTGTTATAAAAAAAAGAAGCAAGATTTAAAAGCTTAAAATATTCGGTGAAACAAAAAAAATTGTTGTCAAATGACTTGAAAATTTTAGTGTAAAATAAAAATAAAAACAAAAATGTTACTCTTTTAGAAATCAATTCCAAAATTGAAAGTGAACAGATAGTTATCCAAAAATTGAATGCTAAATTCACATTATGTTGTGTTGACAAGACGAATTTGGCCTCCGCTGACGATCAAAGACATCGGTCAATGACAAGTTACCACCTCCGAATGGTTTTCACAATTATATAAAATTAGCTCTCAACTCTTTTTCTAATTAAAATCTAAAATTTTAATATATTCGGCGAAAACAAATAATTATCTAAAAATTGAATGTTAATTTCACATTATGTTGTGTTCACAAGACGAGTTTGGCACCGCTGACGATCAAAGACATCAGTCAATGACAAGTTACCACCTCCGAATGTTTTCACAATTATAAAAAATTAGCACTCAACTTTTTCTAATTAAAAACAAAAAAAACCTGTGAAAGCAAAAGTTTTTAACAAACAAAAAAATAATTGAAATTTATAAAACGTTTTCAACCGAAAAATAAATAATTGAAATTTATAAAATTTTAAATTATTCTGTGGAAACAAATAATTATCCAAAAATTGAATGCTTAATTTCACATTATATTGTGTTCACAAGACGAATTTGGCACCGCTGACGATCAAAGACATCAGTCAATGACAAGTTGCCACCTCCGAATGTTTATCACAATTATATAAAATTAGCACTCAATTTTTCTCGAATTAAAACCTAAAAAAATATCGGTGAAAACAAAACTTTTTAACAAAAAATAAATAAATTCAAATTTAGAAAACGTTTTTCAACCCGAAAAAATAAATTAGAAAGATTTTGACCAAAACAAAAAGGGGAAAATTGTGTAAATGGGTCAAATTTGATTTGATTTTGTCCTACTACCCACTTCTCTATTTTTACCTAATTTGCCTTTTTGACATTTCTAATAAATCAAAATAGTTTTAACAGCCAAAAAAATTAGAAAAATTCAAAACAATAAAAGAGTCACTGGGAAGAATATAAGTATATTTTTTTTATTTTAAAAATATGGTTAGAATTGAAAATAATTTTCTATTCTACCTTTTCCAGAAATCAAATTCTACCGTCTACGAGGTAGTAAAATATATATTCTACAAATTGGTCTGAGTCTATTGTATTTAGAATATAGGTTCTACGGATTATTGATATATCTACGCACTCGTAGAATATAGGTTCTACTCATTACTCTATATTCTATGATTTAATTGATTTGGTAGAGTACACGTTCTAATGTTTGTTCTATATTCTACCAATTTTCNGAATATATATTCTACCGTAACTACTATAATCCACCATTCGTAGAATTCATCTTCCAGTTTTTTCCTTTTGTCTACGGGTGGTAGAATATATATTCTGCGAAAATATCATAAAATCTAGGAAATATGGTTAGTAAATAT